GGAAGAGGACATGGAACCAGGCACAGGACCAGGCGTGTTTCGTTCTGTTGTACACAGGGTTCGACTTGACAACGCCTAACAACAGCAATGGCTAATGATCGAGCATTTCCTCAAGTATCAGGTAGCCACCTGAATGTCTTCTTTGGTGACGTGTCTGTTCATATCCTTTGCCCATTTTTAATTGGATTATTTGTCTTTTTGTCTTTTGGGTGTTAAAGTATTTTATAGATTTTAGAGATTAGACACTTGTCGGATATGTCCTAACCAAAATTTTTTTCCCATTCTTTAGGTTTTCTTTTTTCTCTTTTGGTGAAGTCTTTTGATGAGCAAAAGTGTTTAATTTTTAGGAGTTCCCAGTTATCTAGTCTTTCTTCTGGTGTTTATGCATTGTTAGTTATGATTTGTGTACTATTTATGCCATGTATTAGGGCCCCTAGTGTTGTCCCTATTTTTTCTTCCATGGTCATTATTGTTTTAGGTTTTGTATTTAGGTCTTTGATCCATGTTGAGTTAGTTTTTGTGTATGGTGTCAGGCATGGGTCCTGATTCATTTTTTTACAGACGGACTTCCAGTTTTGCCAGCACCATTTGTTAAAAAGACTGTCTTTTCCCCACTTAATGAACTTTGGGCTTTTGTCAAAGATCAGCTGACCATAGGTGGATGGATTCACATTTGGCTTCTCGATTCTGTTCCTTTGGTTTATGTGCCTGTTGTTGTACCAGTACCAGGCTATTTTGACTACTGTGGCAGTATAGTAGGTTCTGAGATGAAGTAGTGTGAGGCCTCCTACTTTCTTTTTCTTCAGTAATGCTTTGCTTATCTAGGACCTCTTTCCTTTCCATATAAAGTTGGTGATTAGTTTTTCCACCTTGTTAAAGAATGCTGTAGGTATTTGGATTGGGATTGCATTATATCTGTAGATAGCTTTGGGTAGAACTGACATTTTCACAATGTTGAGTCTTCCTATCTGTGAGCCTGGTATGTTTTCTCATTTATACAGGTATCTTTTGGTTGCTTGGAAACCCTGGTGGCTTAGTGGTTAAGAGCTACAGCTGCCATCCAAAAGGCTGGCAGTTCAAATCCACCAGGCGCCCCTTGGAAACCCTATGGGGCAGTTCTACTCTGTCTTATAGGATTGCTATGAGTCGGAATCGACTTGACAGCAACGGGTTTGTTTTTGTTTTTTTATTTTTGGCTGCTTGCAGTAGTGTTTTCAAGTTTTCTTTTTATAGGTCTTTTACATCCCTGGTTAGATTAATTCCGAAGTATTTTATCTTTTTAAGGGATATTATAAATATTATTGTTTTCCTATTTTCTTTTTGAAGTTCTTTTTATCGGTATACAGAAATCCAACTGATTTTTGTATGTTGCTCTTGTATCCTGCTATTCTGCTGTATCTTTCCATTAATTCCAGTAGTTTTCTTATGGAATCTTTGGTGTTCTCTATGTATAAGATCATATCATCTGTGTATAGGGGTAGTTTTATTTCTTCCTTTCCAATTTGGATGCCTTTGATTTCTTTTTCTTGCTTTATTGCTCTAGCTAGAACTTACAGCACAATGTTAAATAGGAGTGGTGATGAAGGGTATCCTTGTCTTGTTTCGTTCTCAGCTGAATACTTTCAACCTCTCTTTGTTGAAAATGATTTTGGCCGTTTGTTTTGTAGAGATGCCTTTTATTATGCTGAGGAATTTCTCTTCTGTTCCTATTTTATTGAGAGTTTTTATCAGGAATGGGTGTTGGACTTTATCGAATGCCTTTTCTGCATCAATTGAGATGATCATGTGATTCTTTCTTTTGTTCTGTTTATGTGGTGGATCACATGGATTGATTTTCTAATGTTGAGTCATCCTTGCGTACCTGGTATGAATCCCACTTGGTCGTGGTGTATTACTTTTTTGATATGATGCTGAGTTCTATTGGCTAGAATTTTGTTGAGAATTTTTGCATCTATATTCATGAGAGACATTGATCTGTAATTTTCTTTTTTTGTGGTGTCTTTGCCTGGCTTTGATATCAAGGTTACGTTGGCTTCATAGAATGAATTCACGACTATGCCTTCCTTTTCTATGCTCTGAAATAGTTTTAGTAGTACTGGTATGAGCTCTTCTCTGAATGTTTGGAAGAATTCTCCAGTGAAGCCATCTGGTCCAGGGTTTTTTTTTTGGGGGGGGGGTTTAATTACCCCTTCAATCTCTTCTCTTGTTATGGGACTGTTCAAATTTTCTACCTCAATTTTTGTTAGTTTAAGTAGATAGTGAGTTCGTAGAAATTTGTCCATTTCTTCTAGATTCTCAAATTTGTTGGAGTACAATCTTTCATAGTATTCTGTTATGATCCTTTTTATTTCAGTTGGGTCTGTTGTAATGTCCCCTATCTCATTTCTTATTTGGGTTATGCAGTGTGATGAATTACTTAGTATGACCTTACTGGCCATGGTCTTGTAACTCCCACCCAGCTGATTGGTCCGGGCTGTGCAAATAAGATAATTGTGGCCCACCAAGGGGAATGGTCAGTTTTGCCTTAAAAGAGAGCCAATTCAGGCACAGAGAGAAGACTCCCAGCACCACCACAGAAGAACAGCCAGGAGCCAGAATGTCCTTTGGACCTGGGATCCTCGCACTGAGGAGCTCTTGGACCCAGGAGAGAGAGAGCGAGCTGTAACCTGGAAGACGATGAGAAGCAGTGGCAGGAGAGACCCAACAGCGGAGACCTGGCAGCAGAAGATGGTGTGATGGGCTTCCCGGTCCACAGAGAGAGAAAGCTGACAGCTTTTGGGGAGAGGCCTAGGGCCAGGGAGAGGCGTGCCTTCAAGCACTGCTGGGAAGAGGTTGTCCTGATGGAAGAACCGTATCCTGATTGTTTCTGAGCCTGAATTGTAACTGTTCCTTCCCTAAGAAACTCCATAATCATGAGTGTGGTCTGTGAGTTCTGTGTGGCCATTGCAATGAATAATCGAACCAAGCAGAGAAGTAGAGAGTGCTGTGGGAGGGATGGTTGGTGTTAGAATTGATAAAGATGGTGGAGAAAGAAGGGGCATCTGACCTCCCTCATAAGAATCAGCCTTGGGCTGTTGATCTTGGTTCTCCTCCCCGCTTATGAAGTTAGAGGAGGTAAGACACTGCCCCCGTGTCATTTTTGCAGGTGATTTGCTTCCTTTCTTGTTTCTCTTTTGTCATTTTGGTCAATGGTTTGTCAACTTTGTTGAGCTTTTCAAAGAACCAACTTTTGGTCTTGTTGATTCTTCCCATTTTCTGTCCTCTATTTCATTTATTTCAACTTTAATCTTTATAATTTCTTTTCTTCTGGTTCCTGTGGGCTTCTTTTGCTGTTCTCTTTCTATTTTTTTGAGTTGTATGGCTAACATTTTGATTTTGGCCCATTCTTTTTTGGTGTGTGCACTTATTACTATAAATTGCCCTCTGAGCACTGCCTTTGCTGTGTTCCAAAGGTTTAGGTGTGATGTGTTTTCATTCTCATTTGATTCTAGGAATTTTTTGATTCCCTTTTTGATTTCTTCTATTACTCAGTTGTTTTTAAGGAAGGTGTTGTTCAGTTTCCATGTATTTTCTTTTTTTTCTTGCTCTTCCTATTATTGATTTCTACTTTTATGGCATTGTGATCAGAGAGAATGCTTTGTATTATTTTGATGTTTTGGATTTTATTGAGGATTGCTTTGTGGCCTAAACTGTGGTCTATTCTGAAGAATGTTCCATGTGCATTGGAAAAGAATATATAGTGTATTGCTGTTGGGTGGAGTGTTCTTCATATGTCTATGAGGTCAAGTTGGTTGATTGTGGCTGTTAGATCTTCTGTGTCTTTGTTGAGCTTCTTTCTAGATGTTCTGTCCTTTATCAAGAGTGGTGTGTTGAAGTCTCCTACTATTATTGTGGAACTATCAATTTCTCTTTTCAGTGCTGCTAGAGTTTGTTTTATGTATTTTGGAGCCCTGTCATTGGGTGTGTAGAGTTACATATTTTTTATTGTGATTTTTCATTGTTATAAAATACATAACAAAACATTTGCCATTTCAACCATTCCATTTGTACAATTTAGTAATATTATGTTCACCATGTTGTACAACCATCACCACTGTATCCAAATTTTTCCTTCACCCTTAACAGAAACTCAGTATTCCTTAAGTAACAACTCCCCATTTCCTTCTCCTACCTGCCCCTGGTAACCATTAATAAATTTGGTCTCTATGCATTTGCCTATCCTAGATATTTCATACAAGTGAGATCATACAATATTTGTCCGTTTGTGTCTGACTTATTTCTCTTAGATAATGTTTTCAAGTTTCATCCATGTTACAGCATGCATCAGAACTTCCTTTCTCTTTATGCTGAATAATATTCCAATGTATTTATATGCCACATTTCGTTTACCCATTCATCTGTTGATGGACACTTGGGGTGTTTTCACTTTTTGGCTATTGTGAATAATGCTGCAATAAACATGCAAGAATCTGAGTCCCTGCTTTCAATTCTTTGGGGTATATGGTTAGGAGTAGAATTGCAGATAATTCAATGTTTAACTTTTTAAAGTACAGGATTTTTTTAAGTAATGAGTGTTTGTTGTTTCCTCCTTTATGGTTTATGAAAGTTGAGTTACATGAGAAAGAGTAATCAAGGGAGAAATGAGAGAATTAAGAAATATTTAAGGGGTTGGGTAACTAGGAAAGAGATGACCGTAAATAAGGAAACGCATTACTTTGGGTTCTAGTTAGCACACAGCCTGTACATATCTCATTTCCTCTATTAGACTATAAGTTGTTTGAAAGCAGGACCATCTCGTTGATTTCTGTATCCCTCCTCAGCGTATAAAATACCGCCTTGAATGGAGTGGGGGAGCTCAGTAAATATTCGAAGAAGAACCAACGAATTGGGCTTAGACAGGCTGTAGTTCCTCCCCAGGGCAGGAGGCGGCGCCAGCGTTACGCCAGCCTGGCCGCAGGCATTCTTGGTCCCTCCGGCCGACCGTCGGACGCTGGGTTCGGCGGCCAGTGCCGAAATTAGCCAATAGACAACTGTCTTAGTTGGAGGGTTTGGCAGAGATGTCCAATGAAAGTAGCGGGTCTAGGCAAGGGGCGGTGCGCCGAGGAGGGATAGAGTGGAACGGTTGGGGGTGGGAGTTGGCGCTGCGGGCCGGGAGGGGGCCGTGGAGCTGCGATGCGGACGGCGCCGAGGCGGTGACCGGAGTTGCCGCTCGACATGAACTCGCTGGAGCAGGCGGAAGGTAGGGCGGGCCACCTGGGCCGCCCGGCTTCGTCCCGAGTTTCCTCGCGGAAGGCGGCGGGGCAGCCGGGGACCGGAGCCGCGTAGACTCCGCCCGGCTGCGAGGAGGCCGCGGGTGATGGACTGACGGAGCCCGGGACGCGGGGGGCGCCGTGCGGGCCATGGGGTGGCCGGACCGGGCCCACCCTGGTTCCGGCGCGCGGGGCCTCCGCGGGCGCTGTGGCGGCACGTCCATCCTTCCGCTCCTGCCCAGCCTCGGCTGTGGAGCTGCTCTCGGGGCTCGACTTTCATTTACTCAGAACGTTTGGCACGAACGTTGTACAAATGTTCATTCACCTCGTCTTCGTTTTGTTCCGATAGCCCTGCGGGTTGTATTCCTAATTCCTGATGTGGTTTCTGGAATCGTGCGGGGATAAGGTCTCCTTTTAAAGTTCAGAGAATGTGGTTGTGGAAATGGTACCCCACTTGGCTCTTTTCCGGGGAGCACCTAGGACGCCCTGGTGTTTCAGAACAAGGTGTCGGCACTTGGATAGTGCCACGAAGATCACCTGTGACCCGGGGGGAAGGGGGTGTCTTTCCACGCTCCTTGTGAGGAGACGTTAGCAGCGTCGACAGGTCCGCTAAGACCAGACAGCACGCGGGACCGTCACTGTAGGAGCTAGAAATAGGAAACGGATAATTGTAGTCACCTTAGACCTCGAGGACTTTGGGGCTGGGTAATGAATACGTTGTTCTGTCTAACAGAAAGTTCTTGGTGGCGGCAGAGTTAAAGCTCGCCCTGATTTCGATCCTTCTGTTTGCAACCCCCACCCCCACCCCCAATCTAGCTTTTGGCACCGGCTGAGGCTGCTGCTGGCTTTCCACTTACCGTTTTAAGAAGCTTCTAAAAATGAACCAGCTGGCTTCCTTATATGTGAAATTAAAACTAAAGAAGCTTATAGAGTTTTTGTTTTAAAACTGTGGTAGTAAACGAAGTAAACAGTGCAGTGATACGTGTAAGAGCTGAAGAAATTAAAGTATGTAAAATTTCATCTTAATAGACTGAAACTAATAAGAGTGGCTAATTAAAAAATTGAAATCTTTTTACCTAGATCTCAAGGCTTTTGAGAGAAGACTTACTGAATACATTCATTGTTTGCAACCAGCCACTGGACGTTGGAGAAGTAAGTTCCTTGAATGTTTTTTTAAGTGAAAAGAAATTGACAGTTGATAGTTTTATACCTGCCTAGGAATGATTTGCTTTTATGTAAAATTTGACTAACAAGTCTTTGCGTTTAATATGTCACCAAACCATTAGATTTCCTTTTGTTTTGACAATTTTTTTTAACTTAGCACTTTACACTATGGATTATAAGGAAATTATTAAGAAAATTCGCAATTAGTCGCGATAAAAGAATGATCTATTTTATGTAGTTGGATTTTTTTTCCATTAAAATATGTGGTCTTTTATTAAATGAATATCACAACTTTGATGAGAACAAACAATAAAAATTTTAATAGCCTGTTAAATGAATAATTTCTTTTATAGGATCAGCACAAAGTTGGTTCCAATGAGGTGGAGGTTAAAGACGTCCCAAATGTCCAACTTTCCCAAACTGCTGTACCACTCCATCATCTCTAACATCAAGTACTTTCTCTCCCCTCAGTATTCCCTCCTGTCCTTGGGTTCGATAATGGGCTGCAAGTCTCACAGAACTCACGAACCATACTTACGGTTAAGTGGTTTCTTAGGGAAGTAACAGGGTACAACTCAGGATTAGAAACAACTCAGAAGTAACAGGAAAAACTCAGGATGCAGTTCCTCCATCAGGACAGCTTCTTCTCGCCCTCTGCTACTGGGCCCTGCTGGGGGCCTTCTTGGGCAAGTGTGACAACTCTTAGCTCTGTGAAACCCCATAGCAGCGTCATGCAGATCTCCTAGTTCCTGCTGTTTCTTATTGCTATACGCTGTGCCGCCGTCTCTTACTGTCTTCTGTGTTACAGCTCCCCTCCCCTCTCTCCACGTCTCCCTTTAAGCCTACTGAGATGACAAAAGTGACCAATCCCTTCATTAGGGTTCCATACACCTTATTTGCATGGTCCCACCTCCACAAGGGGGCCATGCACCTTATCTACATTATCAGCAAGCTATCTAATCTCTTTGACAGGCCACAAGCACCTCATTTGCATCGTCCCATCCAGTCATTTGGTGGAAGTCACAAAGGGTACTGCACCACGCCTGTTTAGCAGTTTTACAGTTTACCTACATGCTGTCGAAATGAAGTTTTAAGAAAAATCGTATCTTTAAATTACATGTATACTTGCAAAAACTATGAATTGAATAAGAAAAAATAACCCTTAGTTGATTTTTAACAGAGCATAGCTGCTGCTTTGGAGGCTGACTTAGGGGGAAAAATTCACATTATTACTGTTTATTCATAAATATCATGAGAATTTTATATGAAAGGTGTGCTGCAAAATATGATTTGAAAGAATTAATTAATGCTCCATGGTGATATATAAGAGATGCAGACACATATGCAAGTGATGATTTCAGGAAAACAAAATTCTTCTCCTAACTAACCTAAGTTGGGACCAGTCTTAATTTGTTAGATGTTGATTATTGAAGTTTAATCCAAGAAGGAAATACGGCCGTGAATACATTGACGATGCAGTTTATTTTGAAGTGTAATTTATTTTATGCAGCCATAAGAGCACTGTTGAACTTAGGGTGTCTTATGTTGAGATTGTTTGTGTAATTTGTATTAGGCTTGTTTGCAAAGTTGTGATTATGTACTGTGTGAATTACGATTGCTCAGAATTGATGAGGAATGGTTTTCTCCTGTTCTCTGGTTTGCCTAGGGGCCTCCCCCAAAACCTTTGCTTCACCGTTAACTTGGGCATCTTTTAAAATGTATATGACGCTCTCGTATCTTACAAAATGTAATATAATGAATGTATTTTACTTTTTTTCTGAGTTACGGTTTCAGTGCTTACATGTAAATGGTGTCAGCTGGGGTAATGTACCAGTCAAATAAATGAGGGCGTTTGGAAGAGGGTCCTTCTAAGTGGGTCATAATTTTTGCTTTGGTTCAGCTTTTTTTTTGCTTCAGTTTTTAAAAATACCTGTGTAAAATAGTGTGTTTCTTACTGGTAATACAGAATTATAAGAAATTGAGTTTAATTTGTTCCCAGGTTAGAACATTATTTTGAAATTTTGATTCTGTTATAAAATACGTAAAATGAGATTGTTTTTCTGTGATTTATGTCTTCGAAAAATATAGTACCAGGAAAACTTAAGGTTTTACTGTATTTGTGTTTTTCTTTGAAGCTTGATTTCTACATTTTTAAAATGTATGCATCCCAACTAAAAGACAAGTAACTGTCTGAATCCCCAGAATATTTGCTAGGTTTTAATGTCCCTTTATTACTTTTTAGTAATGCTACATATTCTTAAGTTTAACTTATTATCCGTTTAGAATTTCTAAAATAATTCCAGCTTCATGGGGAGAAAGAAACATTTCCTAAGTCTACTACTAGTAATTTATGCTCTGAACTTCCTGTAAGTACCTTAAAGAAAACCTCATACTAATGGGGGTACTCTGCCCTGATCCACACATCCTAACCCTGATGTTTGTTTAATTCAAAGCAGGAGGTTGTCCATGGGCAGATCTTTAGGCTGACTCTCAGTGCATTCAAAAAGGAGCTTTTGTTTGGTTTGTTTATGTCAGAAAATGAAGGGTTTTTTTTGTTTGTTTTTGTTCTGGTGGTTGTTTTTTTTACTTCGGATTTATAAGATCTGCAAAATCAGCACAAAGCACATTGAAAGTTACATAACATAGAATCTTATATTGAGGTTCTATCATCTTGGCTCTTGTTGCTTTCAATTTCATTAATCTTTGTAAATTCTGACCAAGAAATAAGGGGGACAGTATCATCTTCACTTAATTACTGAGGTTCATAATGTTTAAGTGAATTCTTCAAAGTCATATGGCAAGTCTCCAATTCTTCAGTTGAGTGCATTTTCATTTACTAAAATGCCACCTCCTTTGGTTGTCACCTAACAGAACTGGTGGTGGTATCAGATATTTAGGGTTGTTGCTGACTAATTTCATGTTTATCTTTCATCAGTGCTTCTTATAGTGGTATCTGTCTGTACAGCTACTGGTGCCTGGAACTGGTTAATAGATCCCGAGACACAAAAGGTAGAAGTTTTGTTTTTAAATCTTTAATAGATTAAATGAGATAATAGATACAGGAATGTTTTAATCACTGTGAAAGTGTTATTCAAATGTTTCTTATTACCACTAATAGTAATATTAATCATTATATTAAAAATATGTCACATTGTTAATTTGCCTAAGGAAAAGTTTGGCTGGCTAATGTGAATTAAATATCTTTACAAGGAGCCGTGGTGGTGCAGTGGTTAAGAGCTCAGCTGCTAGCCAAAAGGTCAGCAGTTCGAACCTACCAGCTGTTCCCCAGGAGGAAAGACCTGGTGATCTGCCCCTGTAAAGAGGATTTAGGAGACCCTGTGGGGCCGTTCTGCCTAGGAGGCCCTGTGGGACCCTGTGGGGCCGTTCTGCCTAGGAGACCCTGTGGGGCCGTTCTGCTCTGGCTTACAGGGTCGCTGTGAGTCAGAATCAACTCAACGGCACACAACAGGGGAAAAGACCAAAGAACTATTATTCCACTTACATTACTCCCATTCATTTCTGAATTTTTGTACATTTTAAAATATTTCATTGTGAATTTTTTTTTCTTTTTGTTCTGCTTGGTTCATTTAGTGTCACCGGTGCCAGGTTTTAGAAATCATAAAGTAACATTTTTCCATGAGTCATCTCTGTTGATACCTGTCCTCGTTCCATTAAGTATTTGAGACTTTACAGGAAGCACACATGATAAAATAGCAAAATGTAAATTAAGAAAAAGTCAGGACTAGATCAAATACAGATTAGACTAGGAAGTCAAAATCGAGAAGGAAACCAGGTCGCTGATACGTAAGCCAGTGGTCCAGCAGAGTTACCAGAACTGAGGTATAAATTAGTGTCTAAGTTACCTGATAGTAAAGTCATAGTCAGTTCTATGGTAAAGCAAAGGTTTTCTTTTTTAGCATTTATCTCTTTAAAAAAAAATTACTTGCCTGAAGTTTAATATAGGAGATACTGAGAAATCTAGTTGGCTCTGGTCCAAGAATGTGACTATACCAAATGCAGTAACAGATTTTTATTAAGTTATTTCTTTTTTTTTTTGTATAGCCTTTTCCCCCCTTTTTTAGAAAAATTTTTTATTTTACTGGTGCTTTAGGTGGAAGTTTACAGTGCAAGTTAGTGTCTTATTAAAAAATTTATATATAAGCCGTTTTGTGACGTTGGTTGCAATCCCTGCGTTGTGTCAGCACTCACCCCCTTTCCCTTTCCACCCTGGGTTCCCCGTGTCCATTCATCCAGTTTTCCTGTCCCTTCCTGCCTTTTTGTCTTTGTTTTCGGGCAGATGTTGCCCGTTTGGTCTCGTATACTTGATTGAACTAAGAAACACATTTCTCACATGTGTTATTGTTTGTTCTGTGTTGTCGTTAGGTGCCGTTGAGTCTGTTCTAACTCATAGCGACCCTGTGTACATCAGAACAAAACACTGCCCAGTCCTGCACCATCCTCACCATCGTTGCTATGTTTGAGCCCCTTCTTGCAGCTACTGTGTCAGTCCGTCTTGTCGAAGGTCTTCCGCTTTTCTGCTTACCCTCTATAGACCCGTCTGATCTTTGGCTGAAAGGTGGACTTTGGGAGTGGCTTCAGTTCTGAGTTAGCAGGGTGTCCAGGGGCTATTGTCTGGGGTGTTCCTCCTGTCTCTGTCAGACCAGTAAGTCTGGTCATTTTGTGAATTTGAATTTTGTTCTACATTTATCTCACTCTGGCCAGGACCCTCTTTTGTAATCCATGTCCGAGTGGTCGGTGGTGGTAGCTGGGCACCATCTCGTTCTTCTAGGCTCAGGCTGGTAGGGGCTGTGGTTCATGTGGCCCATTAGATGAGGTTATCTCTTGACGCCTCCTTTGCTAAAAGCTGATAGCGTGTTTTTTATATTTCTACTTTCTACTGACTTGTGTCTTAGTTTCAGGCGCGAGCTTTTTTGTTGGAGAGCTAAGTGTCTCTAGTTTTTTGGTTCAGTTTTTTCCCCCAGTGTAGCTTTACTCAGGTACTAATGATGGCTTAATTTTTATAGCTCTCAAAAGATTCCCCCCCCCTTTTTTTTTTTAAACTGTATTCAGGTGAACTACTTCCGGTAACTTTATTTATAACCTTTTAGGTTATACAGCAGAAAACCCTAATAGTAAGGCTTTTGTTATCAGTCTCAATGACAATTCAGATAGCCAGGAGTTTATTTCACATGTAATCTCCCTGGCTTTAGCCAGTGAGGTGGAGATGTAATAGACAGGGCAGGCTGATGATGGAACTTTATGCTAATGGAGGGATTTTCATGACGGACAGGAAACTCTCCTGTGTGTTCATTTATAACAGTCGGATCCTGAGGCTGTGCTTGGTGCTCATTTTAGGGGAGGAGTGGAAGGCTGGCAAGAAGATTGAAAAGGTCTGTCTTGGGAGATGAGTCTCACTTCTAATTGGGAAAAATAGAAGCTGATTTCAACTAGTTGAGATCTTAATAAAACACAGAATTAAATGTAATTTGAAATTGGACCAAAATTCTGTAGTTAATATAATTTTCTAAATTAGATGAGAATAAAGTTATTAGCCTAAGGGTTGGCTCTTTATACTTCAGTATTTAATAACCCCAAACCTGACAGAGTTTTAACCACCAGTTTTGTCTGTACAGGCGTTGCAAGCTCCAAAGCCAGGGGCTGGCTTGGAATAAAACAGCGAGACAAGGAATGTGGCAAATTGGAAAGTCCATGAATGTCTGAGCTACAGGGAGCAACTGCTGTGTGGTTGTAGTTGATTGTTGCCATGGAGGAAGGAAGGCTGATACCAACTGATCCCATTAAAATTAAAACAATCAAAAACTACCTGTTAACATTGTGCAGGCCACAAAAGCACAGCTGGCTAGTGGCAGTTAAACTGTTCTCAGGTTTTAAGAAGACACTCCTCTGGGATATTAGGATCTTCTGGATCTCATCCTTCTGGGAGCTTCTCTCCGGATGTTTTCACCCCTCGTTTCTTCACGTGACAGATTTATTTCACCAGTGCCATGCCAGGCCATATTCCTGATGCCTTTCATGGATTTAATTCTCTGTCTTGAAATATATACACAGCTCTTAGTGTGGGGATAGGAATGCATTTAGTCTGATTCAGTTGCTCCCATCTAAGTTACCAGGCTATTGATTTCTGTTTTCAGACTCTAAATACTTCACCTTCTTGCTTCTTCCATAAACACACTTACTGTCCAGTAGTCTGGCTTTGGTGCTTACTCCTGTTCCAGTCCTGGACCTGGGCCCTTGTCTCTACACATTCTTTGCATCGTGTATTGTCATGTTTTCTACTATCATCTGAGTACACCCAGATCTAAAATTAGCCCCTTCTTTCTCTTGAACTCTAATTTCTTATGGAAAGCTACTAATTGTTTTTTTACTGCTTAAATGCCCTGTTCCTGTGATCATCTAAATCTCAGTAGCTTCAAAATCGAACTCATTTTTGCCTCTGCAAAGGGGAAGGGTGATGCTGGAGCTGAGTCTTAGAAAGGTATGTAGGGTTAGCCGGGTGGTAGCACATATGTGGAAATGTGGCAGGAGATGATTAGATTGGGACCGGATTATGATGGCCGAGTTTGCTTAATGCCCTTACAGGGAAGTAAAATAACTACATTACATTTTAACTATAGTACATTGAATTTGTGTTTTCATGGAGATCAGAGGCCTCATCTTCATTCATCCAACAGTATTTGTTGAGCACCTGTGTTTGCCAGGTGTTTCAGGTGTTGGCACAACAGCAGTGAATAAGACAGTGTCCTTGCTCTTGTCGAGTTTTATAGTCTTGTGTGTCTTTTATTGCTTCACACTGATTTGAGTGCATTTACTGAACCGTACGTGTTTTTGGTAGGGTTGTTTTTTGAATATAGGAATGGAAATATAATGGTTTGAGTATTTGCAGTAAATGGAGGGAATAGTGCCACGTTACTTCACCATATAGAAGATAGAAAACATACATTATTTTTATTTTTAAGCATAGTAATACAGAAAACTAGGATTGTTAGAAGTCTTCAAATCCTCGTAGTTTAGATGATAAAAAGATCACGTGTGTTTATATACAAGTGGGGAGGTAGGAATCAATAGTGTTCTAAAATTCTTAACACTGTGGTATTTTGAACTCTTGCAGGTGTCCTTCTTCACATCACTGTGGAATCATCCATTCTTCACCATTAGCTGTATCACTCTGATAGGCTTGTTCTTTGCTGGAATACACAAGAGAGTTGTTGCACCGTCAATGTATCCTTTACACTGATTTTTACTCTCTGAACCAAATTAAAGCAGCTTCTAGGTGATATAGGTGATTGTTAAAAACTTACTCTTGAAATGATAAATTTTCCTTTGACCACATCTGTTCAGTATAGCTGCTCGATGTCGAACTGTATTAGCAGAGTATAATATGTCTTGTGATGATGTAAGTACTCTTTTTTCATTTGAAAATTATGTATATGAAAGGACTGAAATGTTTAGAAAAACATTGTCTCTGTGGAATTAATAGTGGGAATACACCTTATACTATTGATTCTAAGACACATTTTTTTACGTTTTAACATCTTTGAGATTGAGATGCATCTAGTCAATGGTGTCTTACAAATAAATAGAGTTGACAGTTTTAATTTTTCTTAACGGTTTATAAAATTATTATGCATCTTATAATTGAAACTATCTTAGATTCAATGAAATACAGTGGTTATTATTGGCCAAAAATGGTTCTGTGGATGTTGGTTTTGTAAACTGCTTTTCTTTATCTAATGGTATTCTGTATATGGGATCTGAAAAAAGAGTCATAGATTAATTTAGGAATTACAGATATATATGTGTATGACGTCTGTGTTTTAAAAAGTAGGTCATGTACCAATGTATTATGAATGGGGTATCTCACAATTTTGGTTGGTAGCTTCTATTTTGGTTTGCTTATTTTATTTATAAAAATCTTTTTACCTTCAATTAAAGAACAATTAAATAATACCTATTCATTATAGAAAATTAGAATAAACAGCAGAAAGTAAAGGATTAGGGCAGGAAGACAACTGGATCAATGCAAGAAGACAGAGACCGAACAGATTTTTTTTTAATTTGTAGAGGTGAAGAGTAGTATTTCAAGTCACCAGGGAAGGAACTAGGCTGTTTTGTAGTGTTGAGACAATTGGCTCTTCATTTGGAAAAAATGAATTTAGGTATCTACCTCACATCAATAAGAAAACTAAATGCCACATAATCAAATACGCTTAAAAATACACATCCCTTTATAAAACTATTAGAAGGAAATATAGAAGAATATAACCTTGGGATAGAAAAAAGCCTTCTGAAGACACAAAAGAAATGCCACATGGAATAAGAAGGATATATTTTTTCAATTTTTTTATTGTTTTGCTTTAAGTGATAGTTTACAATTCAGGTTAGTCTCTCATACAAAAATCTGTACATACACTGTTCCGTGACCCTAGTTGCTCTCCTTACACTGTGACAGCACACATCTTTCCTCCCCAGATTTCCTGTGTCCATTCAACCAGCTCCTGACCTGCTTTGCCCTCCCATCTCGCCTCCGGACAGGAGCTGCCCATTTAGTCTCATGTATCTACATGAGCTAAGAAGCACACTCTTCACGAGTAAGAAGGATGCGTTTTTATTGCACCAAAGTTTAAAACTTTTATACAGTAGAAGGCAAGATATTAGGCAGTGATTAGAAGTGTTTGCAAAGTATGTAATAGAGGATAGTATCCAGAAGAAGTAAAGATGTATTAAAAATGAATAAGAAGAAGATGAACATATTAGTCATCATGGGAATGAAATCCAAGACCACAGTGAGATACCACTTCCCACCGATTACGATGGCTAGGATCAGAAAGTCAGGCAATAACAGGTGTTGTCAAGAATGTAGAGAAATCAGAACTCTTAAATTGCTGATGGGGATGTAAAATGGTACAGCCACTTGGGAAAATAGCCTGGCATTTCCTCAAATTATTAAATATAGTTACCATATAACCCAGTAATTCCACTTCTACGTATACACATACCAAAGAGAAATGAAAACATATGTCCGCACAGAAACTTGCACGTGAATGTTTACGACAGCATTATTCGTAATAGCCAAAAGGTGAAACCACCGGAATGTAAATCAGCTGGACGAGTAGATAAACAAAATGTTGTATATTCAGAATATTATTGGGCCATAAAAATGAACATATTAAAAATCGTTGAATTATACACTTTAAATGAGTGAATTGTGTGGTAAATTAATTATATCTCAATAAAACTTTTTAAAAACCAGTAAGAAAATACATTAAAAATTGGGAGAAGGATACAGTCATATCACAGAGGAGCAAATACATTTGGCCAATAAACATATGTAAAGACCTTAAGACAATGAGTTTCCATTTGTTTTGCCTGTTAGGCGAAAATAAAATAGAACTCCAACGTTGTGAAATGGATGCACCCATACGCTGGTTGTTGGGATTAGAAATTGATAACAGCCATTTTCAGGGCAGTTTTTCATCATTCTTTTAAAAGGTGAAGTGTACATGACCCAACTGTGTTACTCTTCTCTGTCTGCCTCAGGGAGCACGATGACATGCGCGCAAGGAGACAAGAACAAGGTTGTTCACTGCAGCATGGTTTGCAGTAGTGAAAAAGTGGAGGCCATCTTTATGTTTTTCATAGGGGAGTGGTAAAATAGGCTGTGGTATAGTCATACCATAGAAAACCCATCAGCCTACAGATACGGGCATGGAAAGATCTCCGTGGCATAATGTTAGGTACAAAAAGCAAGTTACCAAACAGTATGCTCAGTTTGGTACCATTTTCAAGAAACTGTAATCATGAAAATTTTCAAACATAAGCAGAGTAGAAGAGCATAATGGAGTCGTGTATACCCATTGGCCAGTGTCAACAACAATCAGCTCATGGCCCCCCTTGTTTCATCTATACCCTTGCCTCCCTTGCCCTTCCATTGGCATATTTTGAACTAAATCCCAAGTGATACATTTCACCTGCAAATATTTCAGCATGTTAAGACACCAAATTTTTATTATTTATATTATGCAAATATAAATCCATAGAAAATGATGTGGAAGACTTCATGCTAAACCTGGTTTCTTCTGGGGAGTGGACTAGAATATGAGGTGGGTGGAAAGTGTGACTTGAGCTTATCTGAATTATTTCAGTTTTTATAATGAAGTTTCATTAACGTCTAACTCCTGTATTAGAAAGTACGTTTAAAATAGGTTAAAACCATGAATAAACGAATAGTATATTCATACAGTGAAATACTACTCAGCAGTATAAAAAGGTACAAGCTACTGAAACATGTAGTAATATGGATGAATCTAAGACATTGAGTGAAAGAAGCCAGATGCAAAAAGCCACACAGTGTGTGGTTCCATTTATTTAAAGATCGTAAACAAGCAGAATTCATCTATGGTAAGAGAAGGAATAAAAGTGGTTATATTCCCCATGTGAAAGGAGGGATAGTTAACAGACTGGAAAGAGGCATGAAGGAACTTTCTGATTGGTGGAGATGTCCTGTTGTTTGGTATGGGTGTATAGATTTGTCAAAACTCTAAACTATGGAAGATTTGAGCCTTTTACTGTATATAAGTTACACCTCAATAACACAGTAGAGAAATTAGTATCAAAGATCTGTCAAGAAAAAAATACTGTTCAGTGCACCTTGATTCATTCAGTCAATAAATATTGAGTGATTTTTTTTAGAAAATGACCAAAATTTAAGTAAAAGTGAGAATCAAGAGAGGTAATCAGAATAGTGAAGACACTTTTAACTAAGGATAAAAATAAAAAATTAAAACCACCTAGAATCTCACCAAGCAGATATAGTCACCACAGTTTATATTTGTTGTGTATTGTCATTGACATTTTAAAAAAGCAGGTTGTTACAGGTTTCTGAGACCTGGTGTCTTTTACTCAACAATAGAACTTAATAATAACCACCATTTATTGAGCATTAAACATGTGCCAAAGAGCCCTCTTGGCGCAAACAGTAAGCGCTAGGCTGCTAACCGAAGGTTGGTGGTTCAAGCCTGCCTAGCAGCTCCATGGGGTAAAGACCTGGCAATCTGCTTTTGTAAAGATTACAGCCAAGAAAACCCTATGGGGCATTTCTGCTCTGTCACATGGAGTTGCTATGAATTGAAATCGACTTGAAGGCACCCAACAACAACAAATATGTACCAGTCCCTGGGCTTATCCCTTTGCCTGCATTATCTCATCTCAGGTCTTCCATTTTATTTAATTGCATATTATCTCATTTTATGGATGTACCATAATTTAACCCTTTAGTGGACATACAGTTTCCACATTTTCCATATGTTTATTTTCTGTCTCCTCCACTAGAACATAAGCTCCATGAGGGCAGGGACTTTGTCTTATTTCTTAGCATAGGGCCTGACACATAGTAGGCACTCAATAAATGTTGAATGAACGAACTAAAAACACTTGTATGTATATCTTTACTGTTATATCTAGTTTCCTTCAGATTCCTAGGAGTGGAATTGTTGGATTATGTGGTGTATACTTTTTTTTTTTAAATGTATGATTCAGGTGGCCCTACAGAAGACTTGTACCAGCTTAAACTGAACACCAGTAATATACAAATATCCATTGCTCCAACTGTGGGGTTTACTTTTTCAACTTGAGGAAATTAAACTTTTGTATGTTAGATGAAGGAGAGATGTTTTGTTCAGGTATGTAGTTTTAATTATGCTTTGTAAACTTCCTTTGGTAAGGAGTGTGAATTAATACAAGTTGGCATTTTACCAAGTAAATCGATGGACTGATTTCTAGGTAACTAACAGGCAGGAAAGTCACCAGATAAAGATATGTGTGTTTCAAAGTAATAAAAGTTTCACAAGAAAGCTCCACAAAAAGAAAACTTGGAAAACCTAGGTGTGGATTGCTTAATCTTGACCAACTGGAAGTGTTCTGCTGCCCTGCAAATGCACTGTAAGGTGTATAGATAATTGGTGGTGTTTTTAATAGAACTGTGTATTTATTTTCCATTTTTACAGACAGGAAAACTGATTTTGAAACCTAGACCTCATGTTCAGTGACGGTCTGCACTCATTGTTACGGGACTTGAAACAGCCTTGCTTCAAAGACAGCAGAGTGCTATAAGGGTTCCTCTTACAGCTGGCTGTGTGAACTGACAAGAAACGTGCAATATTGACCCAGGTCATCTTGATGGCGACGACTCCGCGTCATCATCGCTTTGGGTACCTTGGATTACCTGTGTTTCCGTGTTGGTGTCACTTTAGTACTTCACGTTCTGCAAAGACTTTTGCGGATGAAGTATGTACGTATGTTACCAAGTTAAACTGAGAAACAGAACCTTGTTTAGTTTTTATAATGTATTTTTGCAAACTACTGTAAATAGCAAATCAATGCCAATTTTAAACAGAGGAAAACGTTGTGTGGACTTTGTTCTCCTGCACCAGTATTTCAGGAACATCTGCTTGCCATTCCCACAGCTCCATGAACCAGCTGTTGTGTATAGCTGTGGCTTTCATGCTTGTACTCCTCTTTCAATCACACTGCAGGAAAAACATCGGATGGAGTTTAGACTGAGGAAAATTCCATTATGTTTTAAGAAATTATAGATGTTTTGAGAACCAATTCGTGTTAAACCAGATACTGAATTCCAGCCACTATTGTGGTTATATTTTTCAGTTCTTTGTTTTCATTTAATGCTAAATATACTTTATATTATATTTTTTTAAATAATTTTAAAAACGCTCCAAAGGCTTCTGAATATGCAGATTATAAATTATGTATTGTCTGGGAATTTGACAGTCCTGTTGTTACCGATAATTGGATTTGATGCTGTGGTAGGCGTGCTGGTATCACACGGGTGTAATTGATCATCCGTCTCCATCACAAGGATACCATGGGAGCAGTGCCACAAACTAGAGTCGACGATTCTCACTGTTTCGAGAGTGTTAACGACATACTGTGTATGCGTAATAGCCACATGTACTATAATAGCCCTTAAAATCAAACTGTTGGGATTGCTGTAAATATTTTAAAGTACTGGAGGTGCCTTTTTATGAGAAGAGTTGGAAGAGTTTAAATTATTTCATGAGCAATCTTTTAAATTTTCATTTAACATAAAGCTGAAAATTCAGTAACAGGACAAAAACTTTTTAACAAGACTGCCATTTAACTTAAAATGTGTCCCTCTTGGCTTTCACACGTATATTTTATTCTTTAACTGCAGCAATAAAACCCTCTGCTCCTAAAGTCTCAAGAGGGGATTATATATATTCAGCATTGTTTTATTTTCTGTAAATTTTGTAGGTAAATATGTGCATAAAAATAAATACTTTATATATAATTTGTGATTGTACTTTTTCTTTGATTCATTGTAAGTCTAACTCTGGGGGAAAAAAAACATTGTGCGTGCCAGGTACAGGCTAGTTCTAAATGAGATGTTTTACTTTGTCCAGTAGAGCAGATTTTAAAAAGCAATTGTAAGTACTCAGTTGATTAGACTGTGATTATTGTGTCTTATTCATCATCGTCTGGTAGCATTTGGCTCTTAATTAGGAAATCCGGGTTTTATTTCTCATACTGTATGACCTTAGCCCTTTACCTTGGATTCCGGTTTCCTCCAAGAGTATATATAAAGCTGAAAAGGGATTTCATAGGTCAGTAATCCTTAATTCTTTCTGGAGTTATGAATTATTTTGAGTATTTGATGAAAACCTTGGATCTTCTCCCCTAGAAAAATAAACCCGTGTTCACACGTACACTTTGTATGCACTTGGGGATGATTTCAAGGGTTTCCTGAAGCCAGACTACCTGGACCATTGGCTCCAAGAAAGAAGCCTCTATTATATATAGGTCCAGAGGTTTTTCAGACCCTTTACTTCTAGCAGAACAACTATTTTCCAGGTTAGCGTCTCAGCCACCCACAGCACTGTTAGGAAGTTACTGACTGAGTCCAGCCCTCTAATATTACAAGTAAGAAAAACAGTCTTAGATTTACAAAGTAGTTTTACTCAAGGTCCCCACAATTTGTTAATGACAGAGCTTTGACAGCATTGTAAGGATGTTGGGGTGTGTGTGTATTTAAGAATCATTATAATAAATGGTTAAGAATGTAGACACTTGCATGAGACTGTCTAGATTTGAATCTCAGATATGTTACTTGTTAGTTTTTGTAAATTTAGACAATTATGTAAAATTACTTTTTCTTACAAATTGGGTAAAATGCCAATCTCCTAGGTTTATAATGAAGATTAAAAAGTGCTAATTCATGTAAAGCATTCAAATAGTGCCTAATCACATAGTCAATGCTAAGTAAATTTAGTTGTTAAACGAAATCACAAAGAAAAGTAACAACAATGAAAAGATCTGATTGTTACAACTTAACAAACTTAATAACAAAGTCAGCATCTTAGTCAAGATAACCATGAGGAAAATCTGCTGATCTTTTGAACCAAGCAAACTCCTGAATACAGTTTAAATGTGAAGAGAAGAATATTTTGCTTCTAATGATTAAGAGACCTAAAATGGCTGTAGGTGTTATCTTCCTCTTAATTTCATGAAAAACTTAAAGCTGATAGTGCTGTTTTTCAAGGGGCTGCTTTCTCTTACAGAACTGACCTTGATTGGTATTTTGTGGAGACTGGGTGTCTTAGACTGGGTTTTCTAGACAAGCAAAACTAGTGAAGCGCATGTATATGCAGAGAGATTTATCTCAAGGAAATGGCTCACAGCAGTTACAGAGGCTGGCAAATCACAAGTCCGTGGGTAAGGTGTCAGGCTGGAGGTCTCTCTTAACTCACATGGCTGTAGAGGCTGAGGAATCCAAGATCGGCAGCCAATATGGCAGGCCGCTGGCTCAAGTCCCAAGAACCGGAGGTCACATGATGATGTGCTAGATGCAGGATACAGAGCAAGTGAGCTTTGCCAGAATGTCCATGTATATATTGGATGCAGGCCATACTCCCGAGGAAACTCCCTTTACACTGATTGGTGATCACATCACATCATGGACAATGACTACATCACATAGTTGCCAAACTGCATCATTAAGTTAAGTGCCAAACCACTGAGAATCATGGTCCAGCTAAACTGGCACACAACCTTAACCATCACAGTCCACCCCTTGCCAGCTTTGCACCTGTATACATCTTAAACCATACACAATAAGTAATTACAAAGTCATTCTTGAGCCTAACATGATACAACAAACATGCATACAACTGAAAATGCACTAGCCCCGTTTACATCTCATATTTTGTAAGTGAAGCAAACAAAAATATTTGCTGCACTGGTATTTGAAACTACCTTCCACCACCCATTCCATATTCCCTTTACCCTCAGCAAGCACTACAGCTGGTCGTAGTTCTTTACCTTGTGGGGTGACCCAAACCTTCATTCCTGAAGGGTCTGGGTCATTAGTAGTCATGTCGGAATTGGGTTTCTATAGTTTTCCATTGACTTTAATCACAGGGCATGGTAGTACTAAGAGATGCCCTAAGGGTTCTCCTGTATTGCAGACACACTCTTCTTCACCTCCATTATGCAATATCAAACCGATTTCCTCTTGGTAATGAGGATCAATCACACCAGCCAATACAGTACCTCCCTTCTTTGCCTGTTGATCCAGAGGCATGAGAAGCCCAAAGTGTCTGGATGGCATTCTTAACTTCCAGTTCAATGGAATCAGTAACGTGTCTCCAGCTGGGAGCATTCCTCCCTTTGGTACTAAGACCTCTAGATCTGCAGAGCATAGGGTCATGGCGACAGGAAGCAAAAATTTTGCGAGTGGGTCACCAGGGGTAATAGCAAGTGATGCAACTCCCATTTCCACTTCTTGATTCCTGGAACTGTGAATCTTAGGTATGGGAGAAACAGCACCATATATTGGATGCTGGTGTAGCGCGTATACAGCCTCCTGGATAACATGCCCAACCTGCAAGCTATTGCCACCTAGCTGGCGCTGTAATTCTATCTTTAGTGGGCCATTCCATCATTCTAACAAGCTAGGTCCTCTAGGATGATAAGGGACATGGAAAGACCAGAGAATTCCATGAACATGGGCCCATTTCTGCACTTCATTTGCTGTGAAGTGAGTCCCTTGATGTGAGGCAATGCTGTGTGGGACACCATAATTGTGGATAAGTCATTCTGAGAGTCCATGGATGGTAGTTTTGGCAGAAGCACTGCATGTAGGGAAGGCAAATCTGTATCCAGAGTAAGTGTCTATCCCAGTAAGAACAAAACGCTGCCCTTTTCATGATGGAAGCAGTCCAATGTAATCAACCTGTCACAGGGTTGCTGACTGATCATCTCGAGGAATGGTGCCATACAGGGGACTCAGTGTTGGTCTCTGCTGCTGGCAGATTAGGCACTCACCAGTGGCTGTAGCCAAGTCAGCCTTGGTGAGTCGAAGTCCATGTTGCTGAGCCCATGTACAACCTCCATCCATACCACCATGGCCACTTTGTTCATGAGCCCACTGAGCAACGACGAGAGTGGCTGGGGAAAGAGGATGACTGGTTTCCAAGGAACACGTTGTCCTATCCACTTAATTGTTAAAATCCTCTTCTGCCGAGGTTACTCTTTGGTGAGCATTCACACGAGACACAAATATTGTCACTTCTTTGGCCTATTCAGAGAGATCTGTCCACATACCTCTTCCCCATACCTCCTTGTCACCAATTTTCCAATCATGTTCCTTCCAAGTCCCTGACCATCCAGCCAAACAATTGGCCACAGCCCATGAATCAGTATACAGTCGCACATCTGGCCATTTCTCCTTCCAAGCAAGGTGAACAACCAGGTGCACTGCTCGAAGTTCTGCCCATTGGGACGATATTCCTTCCCCACTGTCCTTCAGGGAGGTCCCAGAAAGGGGCTGTAGTGCTGCCGCTGTCCACTTTCGAGGGGTGCCTGTCTATCGCGCGGAACCATCTGTAAACCAGGTATTCAGTCAGCTGGTCATAAGGAACTCCCCATGAGGCCATAGGTGCAGATAATGTGACAGGAGTGAAGACCATGGGCATGTGGGCCACTTCATGCAACTTACTTCTGCCTTCAGGTCTGCTCTGGCCTGATCTCATATACACCACTCCAATTTAATGATGGAGTGCTGCTGTGCACATCCAACTTTATGGTTCTGTGGGTCAGAAAACACCCAGTTCATGATTGGCAGCTCAGGCCACATGGTGACTTGGTGGCCCATGGTTAAGCATTCAGTCTCTACCAATACCCAGTAACAAGCCAAAAGCTGTTTCCCAAAAGGAGAGTAGTTACCTGCAGAGGATGGCAAGGCTTTACTCCAAAATTCTAAGGGTCTATGCTGTGATTCACCAATAGGGGCCTGCCAAAGACTCCAGACGGTATCTCTATCCGCCACTGACACTTCAAGCACCACTGGATCAGCTGGATCATATAGCCCAAGTGGCGGAGCAGCTTGCACAGCAGCCTGCACCTGTTGCAGAGCCTTCTCTTGTTCTGGGCCCCACTCAAAACTAGCAGCTTTTCAAGTCACTTGATAAACAGGCTGGAGCAGCACAACCAAATGAGGGATACGATGATGCCTGCAAAATCCAAAGTGGCCTACCAGGTGTGGTGCCTCCTTTTTAGTTGTAGGACAGGCCAGATGTAACAACTTATGCTTCATTTCAGAAGGAATATCTCAACATGTCGCACATCACTGGACTCCTAGAAATTTCACTGAGGTGGAAGGTGCCTGAATTTTTGTGTGATTAATTTCCCACCCTCTAGCACGCAAAGGTTTTACCAGTAAGTCCAGAGTCACTGGCACTTCTTCCTTACTAGGACCAATCAGCATAGTCATCAATGTAATGGGCCAGTGTGATGTCTTGTGAAAGGGAAAGGCAATCAAGGTCCCTGTGGACAAAATTATGACATAGGGCTGGAGAGTTGACATACCTCTGAGGTAGGACAGTGAACGTGTGTTGCTGGCCTTGCCAGCTGAAGGCAAACTGCTTGTGCTGTTCCTTCAAAACCAGAATACAGAAAAAGGCATGGCCCAGATCTATAGCTGCATACCAGATACCAGAAGATGTATAAATTTGCTCAAGCAATGAAATCACATCTGGAACAGCAGCTGCAATTGCAGGCACCACTTGGTTAAGTTTATGATAATCCACTGTCATTTTCCAAGATCCATCTGTTTTTTGCACAGGCAAAATAGGCGAGTTGAATGGGGATGTGGTGGGAATCACCAACCCCACATCCTTCAAGTCCTTGATGGTGGCAGTTATCTCTGCAATCCCTTCATGAATGCAGTATTGCTTTTGGTTTATTATTTTCCTAGATGGGGCAGTTCCAATGGCTTCCACTTCACTTTTCCTACCATAATAGCCCTTACTCCACTTGTCAAGGATCCAATGTGGGGGTTCTGCCAGTTGCTGAGTATATCTATTCCAATTATACATTCTGGAACTGGGGAAATCACTACAGGAAGGGCTTGGGGACCCACTGGACCCACTGTGAGATGAACCTGAGCTAAGACTCCATTACTAGCCTGACCTCCATATGCCCCGACTCTGACTTGTGGGCC